CATCGCTGCGGAGGGATTGCCGTTGCCGTTGCCGTTGCCGCCGGCGTTCGTCGTGGTCGCTGTCATCATAGCCGAGGACGACGACGACGACGACGATGAGGATGACGACGACGAGGAGGACGACGACGATGACGACGATGACATCGCGACGGGGTTGTTACCGGCGCGAACGGCGTTCGCTACCGCCAGCGGCGATGACGTTGTCGTCGTTGTTGCGTTGGACAGGTGCTCGTTCATCGCCGCGACCATGTTGCCGCGCTTGTGGTAGCGGCGGCGACGGTCCTCGTCCTCGTCCTCGTCCTCGTCCTCGTTATTGTCGTCGTCGTCGTCGTCGTTGTTGTCGATGTCGCGGAACGACGGCGCGACGTCAACAATGACGACGGTAGCGACGTTGTTGTTGCCGCTCCTGCTCCTGATGCTCCTGCTCCTGCCGAGCGGCCTCGCGTTGGTGCTACCGGCGTCTAGCGACAGCGGCGTCGTCCCGGCGACGCACCTCGGCGGGATCTCGCGATTCTCGCGGCGGTCCGTCGACGTCGCGGCGACGTCGTTACCGGCGTCGGCGTCGTCTCTGCCTGCGTTAGGAGCGCGCGTTCTCGCGCCGCCTGTCACCGAGGACGATAGCGCTTCGGCGGCGTAGACGTAACAGCGACAACCGCCGCCGCAGGTGCGCGGTACTGTTGTCTCGCGGCAGAAATTCACTGGCGTCGCGATGGTCGCGATCGTGTCGCGGGCGTCGGGCAACGTCACGTCGCGGGGGCCGTCCGCGGCGCCACCGACGACGCCGCCGCCGGTAAGAACGGTCGCAACGGCGAGTACCCCCCTTCCGTTCCCAGTGATATCAGGGTTATTATTACTCCTTTTCCCACCACTGCCACCACCGACGCGAGAACCGGCACCGCCACGAGACTCGCGAAAGATAAAGACACTTCCACCACCACCACCACCACCACTGCCACCACCACTCTTGTCGCCCACGCTCACGCGGCCCGCTCCACCCCTTCCCCCGCCCCTGTTGGCCCCGTTGCCGCTAATGCCGCTGACAGCGCCGGCCGCGGCCGCAGCCGGAGCAGCGTCGACGCTCCTCTCACCGTTCACGACGAGTCGCTCGGACAGCGAGCCGACGCTTGACATCTTCTCGACGCGACCGCGGTCGCGGTTCCGTCGCCGACGCTTTCGCGGCGGCTACCGCGAGCATCCGCGGCCGCTACGAGCATGCCACCTCGTCTCTGTCTCTGACGTGTGCGCGCCGCCGCCGCGGCGACAACAACGCGAATGCCGCCACCGTCGCCGTCGCCGCCGCCGCCGCCGCCGCTAGCCGCAGCCGTCGTTGCCGTCGCCGTTTTCGTCTCGACCGCCGTCGGCGTCGTCCCCGCCGTCGTTCGGCCACCTCTCGAGCGAACGCGACGCGAAGACGCGATACGAATAAAAACACGGAGTCTCAGCTGTAACTTTTTCCACCCCCTGCCCCTATCGCTCGCAGGGAGAATTGTCACAACGTTACGAACGATCGCGAACGCCAGCGAGCACGCACGAGGTGTGCGAGCGCGGCGCCTCCGCTTCGTGTTTACTCCAACCTCCAATCCAACGACTCCAAACTCCAGCGAGCGAGACCAAACGGGAGTACGAGACGTCAGACGGGACGATCCGCGCGCCGCGTCGCCTATACTTCTCTCGGGCTCACAATCAGTTACCGTCGGTATTTTCCTCCATTCTCCTCCATCAGAGGCCGGCACCTACTTATACAAATTAGGGTAATCTGCGGGTAATGAAAAAATGTAATTGACATTTCAGAAAAAGAGATTGGAGAGCAAAGGCGCCAACAAGTTCCTTTTCACGATTGCGGTTGATTTGCGGCTCGCCGGCGCTTTACGTACATACAGCATTGTTTTCTTCACCTCGCCAAAATAACCACGAAGGTGTATGCTTGTCGAGAAAACAACGTATACGGTATAAAGTAGAAGAATGATTGATAAATCTTTGAATCTCGGAATTATCGTGCACGCCGCGCCATTTATTTACAGTTTTGCGACAAGTTGAATTGTTTGCGATTAATATACATGGTACATACGTGTGTGGATAACATCCTGAATACATATATATAATAAATCTGATCGATCAAGTTTTTTTTTTCAAATGACACTTTCGAACGAAATAGATAAAAATCGGTGATTTATTTAACGTTATTATCATAAACTTAGATGCCTTCTGTTTTCTACAATAAATCCGTTTAAACGGTTATTACATAAATGAGTATTCCTTGAGAGGCACGGACACAGCGTCAAATATAAAACATTGTATCCTGCACCTGCTATTTACGAGATAACGATCAGCTAAGTTCCTGAGTTACATTTAGTATGTTTTCTTTTACGTTTATGTATACACAAATTGAAATTAATCTAAATAATTAAAAAATATGACAACGTTGATATACATTCTTAAACATTAATCAAATCTACATGCATACATAAATATAATTATTTCCTACGCTCTATGCACAATACTAGTCTTTATATATTTTTATATTTACAATTATCCTAACAGCATTCTTTCCATACTCGTTCGAATAAAACTTACATCTCGGTTTACGTATAATAAAATATTCTTTAAATTTCTATTACAAATTATATCTCATAAAAAGGCAATTGATACCCTCTTCACTAATCGACATAATCGCGTTTCTATTTTTTTTAATTTCTTTAGACAGTAATGCGATGCGATTATTCAGTAGTGGGAACGCAAGTTTTTCACGCCGCTATTATAAAACTGCTATGTTCTATAAAAACTAGCCCAATTGTACTCGATTATTGATTATTGATTTAAAATATAGTATACAACTTCGCGCCATACCGCGTTAAAAATTCGTTTAGCGAAGCGATACGGATCTGTCGATGTAAAACGAATCGGAGGTTCGGTAATAAAAATAAAATCAGCCAGCGCATAAGATTCTTCCAACATTATACTCCGTCCACGGGTCTTTTCATGACTAGAACTGTAATTATTCGTACAGGTAATGGCGTACATTATTGTTCGAAAAGACTTTATAAAAGAATCATGTTTCCTAAGCTGTTTCGCGCCATTTCAATTATTCTTCTTCCCATAACTTTCTTCGCTGGATGCAACATAGGAACTGATATGAAGTTTACATAACTTAATAAAGGGCCCAGGGCGAAATGTGCGCGCGTTCGTGCAGCTCGACTTGGAACGGAGTTTCTGAGTTAAAGAAACTAAGAACAAAACACGCTAAAAAGTTAAAATAATTATATAACAAAAAATTAAGATTCCCGGATTTCTATAGATTGGCACGATTGCGGGTTATAACTACGCCGAATACATTGCAGCACACATCGCGGTTACACACAAATATTCACCGAGTATCCTTTCGATGAACTTTGATATTTGCGTACGGACAGAATATTGGAAGCGCGTTGATAGACCATAGAATAGCGTGCCACTTTTGCCAGACCAAACGCTGAATTTCTCGACACAGACAGAGAAAGACAAAGAGAACGAACGCAGTCATCGTTCATACGGTCATCGTGCCGACTTTGTTCTTGAAAAATATTTTACCCATTTGGACTATATTCTTCATTCATACGATCTTTGTCTGAACATGCTGCTGATCTCCTCTATGGTTTTGTTCTTCGTCTCCGGTACTTTCTTGTATATGAATATCGTGAAGAACAACTGCAGCACCGCAAAGATGATGAACACGTAAGCGCCTAGCACTTCCTGCAGCGGCAAGAAGCCGATGCTAACGATGAAGTTCGCGGTCCAGTTGACGGCGATGGCGATGGAGGTAGCGGATGGTCGGGCGGATTGACTGAACAACTCTGACACCAGGAACCACGGAATACTTCCCGGTCCAGTGGCGAAGAGGACGACGAACATGATGACAAGCACGATCGAGAAATACGCTGCTGCCTGCGACGTTTCCTGCAATGCGTAAGTGAAAAGTTCGATTGCGATCTCAACGTCTTTCGAGAGCTATTGTACATATTGTATATTGACTAACTGAAGGACACAAGAATACTTACAGCGAATACGAGACAAATGGCGAGTAAGACGGTATCCACGAACATGCCGGAGAATCCGACCAAGAGTAGCGTTTTTCTGCCTGCCTTCTCTACCAACACCAAAGAGATGATGGTCATTAAGACGTTCATCGCGCCGACTCCCATCGTGGCGTTTTGGGCGGCATTCTTGTCGAGCTGCGCCATCCTGAAGATTTTCGTTGAGAAAAACATGACGGCGTTTATGCCGGATAGTTGCTGGGCGAACATAATCATGATTGAGATGAATAGTGGAATGCGAAGCGTTGGATTTACAAACAGCTCACGTAGAGTGACCTTCGGCACCAGTTTCACCGATTCGTACTCTGCCCGCATCTCTTCCATTTCGTCGTGAACTTCGATCGTACCGCGCAACCAGGATAGCCCTATTGAGAAAAAAGAAAACGATTTCTGTGAGAAAGACAAACAGTCGGACAAAGTCGACAGAGCGAAAAAGTGTCGAACAAAAGAATTCGAATCTATTCTATGATGACGCATTCAAAACGACGGATTCAAAAAAAAGACAATCGATTCACGGTTTCACGATTTCGAAGACCGGACACTCAGGAATAAACTCTTTTCAAAGTATTTTTTTTATAAGCTGCATCCTACATTCGTTATTTGCGTGCTATAATAAATTATACTCTTCCTTACCTCTTTGCGCATCCATATCTTTGCCGCGGTTAAGCAACAGGTATTTGGGACTCTCGGGGCAGAAAGGCAACGTGCACATCTGGAAGATCGCTGGTACGATCGTTAGACACAGCAGTAACGGCCATTGCTCGGCGGTACCGAGGATTTGCTCCAGGCCGAGGATCTGCGATACCAGAATCGAGATGGTGATGACAAGCTGATAGACCGTGCCCACGGCACCGCGCAGATGCACGGGCGAAATTTCGGCCAGATACATCGGCGCCAGGCCAGCGTTCAGCCCGGAGTTTATACCGATCAGGAACCTGCCGACGATTATCATTTCGTAGCTCTTCGCCGCCTTGGCGCTACCCTCGAAAATCACAGTCAGGAGGACCAGGATGTTGTTCAACAGCAGACCGCCCTTTCTACCGAAGCGGTCCGCCACCCAGCCCACCAGAGAACCACCTATCATTCCACCGACGCAGAATATCGATACCGCCAACGACCAGATTAACGTCACCTCCGTCTTTTCCGTTGGGACACCCGTGCGATTCGTCTTCAGGTCTTTGATCCAGTCCTCGATAAGCTAACAAAGGTTAGAACATTATTTGGTTAGTAATTTTCATCATTTTTCACTCGTCATTTACTTCTTTTTCGTTTTTATGCATCACGAATATTTTACGGTCTCGTGATTCTGATATAATATACTATATGTACCGTTATTGTTATATACTAGGAAAAAGCAAATGTAACAGTTTTGACAAAATGTTTTTGCAAATAGTTAATGTAAGATGTTTTGAGAATGTCTTACGATTAAGTTAGTATCCGTACCTGTTGAGGTGCATTAACTACCCCGGTGTTGTATCCATGCTGAAACGACGAGCCGAGAGCGGCTGCCGCGATAGCGAACGCTAGCCGGCCGTTGAGACCCTACGGCAGAAATCGATATGGGAAATCTCATTTTAGAGTTATTACCGAAAGAATATTATATCAAATACATTATTTTAAAATCTGATATTGGAAGGGAAAATATTTGTTTAAAAAATGCACAATTTTAATATTAAAATATTAATTTTTAAACAATTAACTTTAAAATATTAAAATTTAAAAAGAAATATTTACGGATAATTTTAGTAAGGAATATTTCCTTGGCATATTCGAAACGACGTCGTTGTTCTTTCTTAAAATGCAAGTATCGATAAGGCGTATTAATAATGAAGCGATGAATATGCAACGCGCAAGTATAATGTGATAAATATTGCCCGGTATTCAGAATCAAGTCGGAAGAATCGACATGTAATTGTACGAGTAGTGAACCGCGGAATATTTACAGGAAATATCTCGTCAATAATTCCATATCTTTATTTTTATTTATACATATCTATACGCGGAAAAAAGAAGCGTTGCTAATTTAAAAGGAAAGTTATCCAATTTCGTAGAAATGGAGTTCTTCTCTCTCCTCCCATTCTAATACTACTTTTTCGGAGTCGAGTGCGTACCGCTCTTCTCAGATATGGCACCTCGAGGTCGGCTGATTTTATCGTCATCCCGTAGGTTTGCCACGCACAAATTAATACGCACTGTTATATCACGTTCCGATATTTCACTTTCACCGATTGACTCGCGCGCAATAGATGAAATAATAGCGTAAGTGTTGTGTCGCCGGATCGTTTGCCTCGCGGTGTTGTTTCAATTTTCAATGTAGAGTATATCGTACTCCAGTGTCTCGCAACACGTGCCGAAGACTGGTGGGTCGGTATCCTCGCTGACCATTCTTATACTAGCACGCCACACAACACTCACGCATACACGCGCGCACGTGCGGGGCACACATATCTGTCCACCCGGAAGATACACGCATACCGCACATGCGTGCGTATGTGTTCGTGTTATTTAACACGGCGCTACGATATTACTTCATTTTTTTTTGTTGGATTTGCATAGTGCAAACATGTACGTACGCACGCACACTCGCACATCATTTCCATGGAGAAACGACACTTCGTTATCGTTACGCGCGTGAGCTTGTGTGCCAAGCAATGGCGTAAGCCGTGCAAATTATATCTTATTAAAACGAATTTGTTTCGATACTTGGTATTCAATTAAGTACTAAAACATAGTAAAAAAAAGGAGAAAAGAGATAAATTGCTAATAGCGAGAATTCATCAATCTTGCAGATATGAATTATACTTTCCATTCATCTTAATTCATCTATTTCTCGTGGATTATTATATAGGGGGAGGGGGTTTACTTCAATGTTAGGTTTTATACTCTCGCCTCACTTAATAACGTCGATATTATCGAGAATATAAATCGGTGAAAAAATCTCTTTGATTGAGATAAATAATTGAAATAATCAATTCTCTAAATTCCACGACAATCGCATGGAGAATGTAAAAAAATGGGTCAATCACGTGGCAGAATCATCGCAAATGCATTATCATCGTATTGTCCCAAGCACGTATGTTTACATATGCATAGCACTTGCATAAATATTTATCGCTGCATTTTTGACAATGTTGCGAGTCTTCTTTGACGTCGGCGATCCGACGGCCGAGTGTACTTCGTACGCGGATATACGATAACAATGCTATGTACTATGCGCCGAGATTGTAATTTATTGAAAGAAATTCTGTTCCGTCAAGATCGTACATCGGACTTTAATCTCTTGTTACGAAATAAGTGGCGATTAATTGTAATTTATCTATTCGCTGTAGTTCGCTTCGAAAAATTTCATTTTTCTGTCCTCTGTATCTCTCAATAGCTCTATACGCAAGAGCGTGTCCTTATTCTATTGCGGATATGGAAAGAGAGCAGCAAAGTAAACAGATCTATTAGAGTGTTTATGTGACAGGAATTTTCCGCTTTACGATTTTATTTTCTTCGATCTTTATCTGCTTGAAATAATTCAATTCTTAAAATTGATGCGAGCAAAATTAAATCTTGTTTAGCCGGACAAGCTATATAGAGATAGATGCAAATCGTCCGAACGTTACATTCGCGGTATATCATAATTGTTGGATTTCGCGGCAGATTAATAATTTTTGGCGTTATATTGAGTACACTAAAAGATATATTCGCGTTTTTTTTACACGCCGCGCCGGTGCAAATGAGAGATCTAAACAGTTTATTTTGCGCAACGCACATCAGCGGTGCTAAATCCTTATCTCGTGATGCATCGATCATTGGTCGCGCCTCCCGTAAATTTTTCACGCAAATAAAACGAGCAAATTTAATTAAGTATCCGTGTAAGCAACATTTTTTCGATGAAAAGTTATCGAATTTCGCAAAATATAAACTGTCTCACCGTATATTCTTGCAGTTTCTCTTGCTGATTCGCAATTACCGTCGTAAACAACAAAGTCCACGCGTTACATTAATAATAACGAAGACTATCGCGACACCGCTTCGCAAATAGAAACGACTTCTAAAAAATGCAAAGAAAGAAGTGTTATGTAAAACGCACTTATCAGTGATTCGCGAGTTTAAATCTTGACGGTTCGCATTATTTAACATCTATTAATGTGAATGGAAACGTACGAAATTCTCTACGGTTAAGAGACAATGCAGAAAATCAATATGTGAAGGTGTTAAAACTTACTATACTTACAATTAGAGAAAATTATTTAATTAATACGAATCGATATAGAGATTCGTATTTGCAACGTTGCAATATCTGATCTCCGAAATACAGATTGTTTTTAAAATCTGATCAAGAGAGTATAAGATAAATAATTTTACTTCAATATGTGTTATCTATATAAAATGGATAAATAGAAATAGAAAGAAATTAAAATATTCCATTATTGATTAGTTAAACATCGAGCAGCTATATCGCAAGTTAGAAATTCATAATTTCGGATAATATATTTTTTTAATCGTGTCGATCACAACTTATCTGATTTCAGCAAGGATATATAAAAAGCAATGTTATGTCACATACACTTGCGATTACCGTCTAAACAGAAAAAATGCGCGATCAGGCAGAAAGTATAAATAGCGAGCACATGGCACACCTATTTTTCCACGACGATATCTATTCCATTATCCAGTGCATAATCGTACAGAGGCACGACTAAAGAGATTACCAATGCTAAAGCGATTCGCCGAGTAAATTTATATACTGACGTAAAAAGTCGCTGTTAAATACTTTGCCGTTGCTGAAGATTTACGATTACCTAATTTTCACACAATTACATTTATGTCAAATGTAGATATATGTATATTTAAGAGAGCGTGCAAAGCCAATAAAACGAAATAATTTTCGTGAAACAAAAAATGTGGAAATAGAAATGGAAAAGTGAGGGAAAAGTGTCGATTTAAATAGAAAATCTCATCTAGATAAGATGCAAATTGATAACAAATCATTCCTCATTTAATTCCGACTTAAACTCTTAATATTATAGCAGCTATATAAACGCTGTTTAATGTTAAAAATTGAAACCCGTATGTTACGCGAATTCGCGCAAGAGTGTCGACCCTTAGGCGTAATCAATACGCGATGTTCAATTGGATGCGTATTACTACAAAATTGAGTGATATTGATCGCACATGAGACAGTGGTTAAACCGATCTAGATCATGGTCGACGAATGCATGCAGGCATGAAACCTTGGGAGAGAACGACCTGAATTCACGTTTCATGTTACCTTTTACTATCAATTTACTCTTGTAATCTTTCGTATTACAATTTCGAATTTATCTCAAGATTATTTCATAAGAATAAAATTCTGCTAATCTTTTTTAATTTAATTTTTTTAGGTAGAAAATGTGCGTATTACGCATATTCCATTCTCTTCTCTACTACAAAATTCATGAGAAACTTGTCAGAATGATAGAATTTCTGCAGAAAAATAGCTGAGTTGAAAGAAAAATTGACAGGAATTTATTCCGTGAAATTGAATTTCTAATCCGCCATCAAAGTGGGAAACTAGCTTTTAAATTAAATTTTTTTCTTTTCTGCTCGTCTATTCCTAATAGCTAAATGTTGAATTTAATTTAATATTACACTTTGTTCCAAATATAAAAAATTCATTTTTTTAAATTGCTTTTTTTGTCAATTAGAATCTGTTTGCTAGAGGAAAGGAATTCGAGCTTAAATTGCAGAGTTATAAATTATAATTTCGAAGATGTTTCAAAATGAATTCTTTTCGACACATATCTCATATCAACCTGCACAGAAGTAGTAAAGTAACTCTTCATTTAAGCGACGATGTTGTTTACTGTCGTTGATCGAAAGCGACGCCTATGATCTTAGAAGCCGTTGCAACGGCTGCCCGCGGTTGCGCGTATGTATTGCATGTGAGCATTGTAAATGTGCGCGGTACGCACGACGGGTATATTACATACACAAGCAATCGCGTAAGGGAATATTTCGTCGTTCCTCACGTAGCAAAGTTCCAGACCGCCGTGCCGTGACGTATCTCGCGTCACAAAGAACGACCTATTCGTGTGTAAGTGTGTAAGTGCAATGTGTAAGTGCACGCATGTGCCCGTAAGGAAATCCTCTCGCAGCTACATTGGCCGTGGCGAAGGCGTGTCGTTGCTCGATTGGTGCAGCCGGCGGTCGAGCCGGTCGAGCCTCCCGAGAGAGCGACGGCAAGCTCGACGATGGGAAGCTCGGACGTGTTAAAAATAGCCTGAGTACTCGCACGAGCGCGCCGCCGACGTTTTGAGCGTGTGCTGCGTGTTTTCGAGACGCCGTTGCTCTGGTTACTTCGCCAAGTCGCTAATTTTGACGGGCCACGAGCCCGCCTGCGAAAAGAATACGCGCCCCCGTACAAGGTCCGCGATTGCTCTTGCCTCTTGGATATAGATATCGCCGATATCGGTCTCTTCTCTTCCACTCTTTCCGCTCACAATCGCTCAGTATCGCTCTTCTATATCTTCTATCTGCTTATTCCCTTTTCCGTTCCTCTCTTGATTCAATTTCCTTTTTTCAGTTCTTTTTTTTTTTAATCATCAGGCTAGATCTTGCGGGAGAAACTTGATTAAAATAGAAGGGTTTCGTATTATCCTCTTGTCGTTAGTTAGGCAATAGAAAGTACTTGACCTAATGGCCCTCCTCCTGAGATAATATCGGCAACTTAATGAGCGCCTTCCAAATGAAGGTTTCGGTATTCGGTATTATGGAACACAGCCGTTTTGCGTCGTTATCAAGGCGAGACAAGACGTATCGCGGTCATCGCGGATGAGGTTTCGCTCGTGTGTTATTGAAAAGTCAAGATGTAAGATATGCTAATTTCTACCGGATATACTTATATACAACAAAACGCAGAATTGCACGCGCAATTTTATTTTTGTTATTTCTTTTAAATTGATTTTTCGAAACTGTCTTTTTTAAATCTAGTTTTCGCTGTGTTCTTAAGCAAAAAGTGGCGTAAAAAAGTGTCGCACGTTCTTAGAATGATTGGACGCTGCAAAGAAGGCGATTTTGTGGCACACCTGTTATTAACATAAACGCCTCTTATGCAGTCGCAAAATGACTGATGTGATACGTAGTAGGACTTAATAACGATGACTATTTGCGCATTATGATAATCGCGCGTAACCTCTTTCTTAGAATTTCCTACGAAGATGACGGTGCAGCGCTAATCATTTTAGGTATGTTAATCGTTAATTGTGCCGATTGTGTTAAGTGTTACGAACACCTTAGAACGCAAAATGTCGCGTGCTCCAGGTAGACAAAAGAATCAATTGCCGCATGTGTCATTCTGTTCCGCATGAGTAACATTTCTCAAGCCGATTCCATTCTTTCGCCGAAGGACTTTTTATTAAAATTCCACGCGCGATAATAGCGTATCACTTTACAATCCGCAAAAATAAAGTCTGATGATAATAACGGCTTTCAACGGGAGCTTTCGAGTACCTCTCGTTATTCATACATTGTATTCAAAGAGCACTGACGAGGCACTTCCTCCGTTTTTGACGATTATCGAATCGCAGCCAATCGCTGCGTAATGCGAAGCTGCCTTTGCAGCACGCGAGACTCAAAGATCTCAAGTTTTCGATATACCGTTTAATTTCTTATTTATAAAAAAAGAAGATTAAACAAAATATTTTGTGACTTTTGGAATTGCACGATCAACGCGATCATGGATTTGTCAATTTCTTTGCAATATTTTTGCGATGCGTAATTTTACTTCACGAAATGAAGATTTGTTCGGCTTTATTGCATCAAAGTTTGGTTTAAATAATTATAACGCAGAAATCGAAAAGCAAGCATTGAATTTCAAATAAAATTAAAGATTTGTATAACGAAATAAGAATTTTTTTTCAGATCACTCATTTATTATTCACTCAGTTATTTTCTTTTAGCTACGCTATCTATACTTGTCATCTTTACTCATTCTCTCCAAAATATAAACTCTTAAATGTAAGTATTTATACAGACGTGTTTATCTTCAGTTAATATCATACGTGTCACGTTGTTGCCTTGTTTTGAGGCTTGCTTAAGAAGTAACTGTAGAATACGATATCAATAACGGTGTACTTTTCTTACTGTTACTACTTATTATTATTATATTTTTGTTGCATTTTGTATATAGAAAATATGAAAAGTTAGGAAAAGATGTAGGGACTAAAATTCAAGTAAATTCTTACGAGCGAAGAGTTTATTGAACCGAACAAATCGATTGGCGTGCTCCGTTTGACTCCAATATATATATATAACGTCTAAACGTATGAAATAGTCTCTCAGTCATGGGCGTTACAAGCGATGTTTGGATTGTCTGGAATATATCTTTTATTTATCTTAGACATATTTTTGGACACAGCCGATTAAAGTCACGAATAATTTTATGCGTTTTCAATCTTGGGGTAAAGTGGTTGTAAAATGTTGATGAGGTTCGACAGTAGTTACGATCGTTACGTTTTAAAATATACCGAGTCGACCTTTTCGCAAACTTTTATTTTAGTTCTTTCGAGTAGAAAATACGATATTCTTATCCGGTTTCGCTGCATATCCATTTCAAAATTAACCTTTAGAGAAAACTTGGTGGCTTGATATAAGAGGCACATTTATAATTTGCACAAATATGTGATTCTTCGTTCAATTTCCATCGTTTTTTCATCAACTAAAATGCTAAGATACCGATAACTTTTAAATATTTAACCATCAAGGAAGACAGGCTTCTCGTAAATCGAATTTTCAGAATAACGAATAGTGAACAAAATCGTGTCCTTTTTCTTTCAATTTTAATTAAAGTTTAATTTAACAAAATTTTAATTTCGAGGTTTAAACGTACATTCGAAAAGCTACACTAAAAAGTTCGGCTTCATAAATTTGCCAGCTAGTAAAATTTATCTATTTTTATTCCGGATACGCTGTTTACATTTGAGCGTAAAAAAAAACCAGATGTCTTCTCTCATTCGAGAGTTTTACCTTGAGCTCCATATTGCTTGAAGCAAGTAATCCGTGCGCGTCACTTGATACACTTGTCTTTTTTCTTTCTCTTTCTCTGTCTTTTTTTGTCTCGTTCTACTTCTTTTAAAATTGTATGTCTCTCTTTGGGATGCAATCACTCTTTCTCTCTTACGATATAATTTCTTCTCGGAAATATCGACCGCGAGGAGAGCGACGATTCAGAAAATTTGCTCGAGCGGAGAAAAATCCCGAGATGACGAACGAGACCTCCGTACTACGATCGTGAGCGCGTACGACTGTCGCCGATATTCGTGTGATGGTATAACCGAAGCCGATTTTCAAAAGACCCCGCTCTCTTCCTTCGTGTCCCCCTCTTCCTCCTGGACCGATACAACGACAGCACAAATGGGCGACCCTGGGACTGGATTCCGGTCGTATGAACCTTTCACCGTCCCACGTACCCCTACCGCGACGATGGGGGGGATTGCCCCACTAAAAAAAAAAGAAACGAAATAGCGGATGACCGAGCAGTTTGGAACGCGAAAAGCACGGCACTCGCTAATGATACTCGACCTGCGAAAGCAACGGCGAGAGCGAAAGTTTCTAGTGGAATCATGTATAATTTTGAAATTCATAATAATTAGCTAAATGTTTCCAAACTTAATTTTCAATTACTTAATTTCAAGTACGAAAGGATATCTATGAAAATCAGACAAATAATTTTGCGGCTCGCGACAGCTCTCTGATTTTGCGTCGAGAAAAACGCATGGAAACCGCGAGCATCGTGATCCAATTGCGCGGTTGATTCGGGATATCGGACACGGAGTGATCCCAGTCGTACTCGTATTACGGGAAAAAACTGGAGTGTTTTGCGATGCGAGGCAGGAATTGATATAACAAATATCGCGTGATGACAGAGGCGCATATTTATTATTAACGGAAACGCCGATTGCAAAAACATCCGAGTCACATTACACGAAACTCTTCTGATCTACGATTGATCCGGGCGTATATCACTGAGATTTATTATTAAGTATAAGAAACAAGAAGAGAGATGAGAAAGTATTCTTAACCCTTAAATGCCACGCGGGATCCAGCGGACCCCAGACTCTTTACAATTATATATTTTCAAATGTTTCCGCCAAAAATGGAGCTCATGCTCCCATTCATGATAGTTGAGTGATTGACCTACCCGTTTGTACACTTAGCAGTACTCAGTTTACTTAATTTTTTATACTATGTTGAAATTGAAATTTTAACAATATAAACATTTTATTCTCTTTTCTAAGCCTTGAACAAACATTGAAAATAATTTTCATAACTAATAAATATCAAAAAATCAATGAGTAAAGAGACATTTTTCATGCTGGGGTCTTTTAGACCCTATGTGTCATTTACGAGATTCTTGAGAGAGGTGTGGTATTTAAGGGTTAAAGTACAAAATATAAATCCAAATAGAAGAAGAGGGACATTATTTATAAAATTAATTAAAATATCAAATTTTCCCTCTTTCGTGATTATTCTCAAAATATGTATGTAAAATACTCGTATTTCAGTAAATACTTTTGGATCATTCTTGGCCCACGTGAAATAATGCATTCTAGGTACTCTTAAAATATTGCTCGTGGAACATTCCCACCAGTGTTCTCCGAAAATGCTCTAACTCCCAGAAAATATTCTAAGCTCACATTATAATGTTTACGGATTCCACGGATCCTAAGCAAACGTTACACGCGCACTTTGTCGTCTCAGAAAAAAAAAACTGGAAATACACGTGGAAATACTTGAAGCATCTCTTAGTCTTTGCACTTTGACGCGATCCTCTTTGCGTTTCTTACGAGAGCGCGCTTCTGGACGGTCCACATCGGAGTACACACGATACCGGACGCGGTCCGTTAATGAAAGCCGGTTAGGTCATGTCAGTACGTGTCAATTTTACAATTAAGCCGCATTGAAGCGGACTACTTCTGCGACTTCGCGCATATGGCCCGGTGAATTTCGCATGGCCGACTTCGAAACTCGTCTTGTCTCCGACACGGTACACTTGTTCCGTGTAACAACGTTATTCGAGCCTAGATATTGAAAGCAATAACTAAATATGTGAATAAATATAAAAGTATTGCTTTAATGAAATATTACTATACATCTCAAAATGTATCAAATTTCGGATATATATATCCGTTTAATCGAGGAAGACAGAGATCTTTGAAACGCTTCGAACACTGACTCACGAATAATAGCAGTATGGTAGTGTGCAATATCTTATCACTATACACAATTGTATCAAATTAAAGCCAAACACTAATCACTTAATATATCATAATTCAGTATAAAATAAATACAGGATGTCAGGTGTATGTGTTTGTATGTGCAATGTGCATGCGTTACACATACATATATCATCTTGTTATAAAAATGATATCGCGATTTCAAATAATATCTCAGATAAATTTTTCATTTATATTGAGAGGAGAGAAGAGTAAAATTGTGATGTGAAGAAGAGATTACTCTTAAAACACCAATTTGTTTCATCTTCTTCGCCCTATTTTAGATTAATGATTAAGAGTTGCTATAAATATATCGATATACGAATAGATTTTAGACTCAGACAGGCAGACACGATTATTCACTATTAGAAGCAATTGTTATTAATTGTCGTAATACGTCGGCCGAAGCTGACGAACACGAGATCCAATTTGCATGTAAATACCGATCTAAACTTATGTGCCTCCATTCTTGCGCCATTTCTGACAGTATAGGAGATAATCAAGAAACAAAGTCGAGCTTTCTAAAAATTTAACGGCTCTCTGTTAAACCAGACTTGTCAAACAAACATGTCTCGCGTCAATTTGTCATCCACGTTTAAAATTAGATATCTCACTGTTTATGTCGCGAACGAATAATCTCTCGATTTTTATCAAGATAAAACCGTCTACCGAAAAATCAAAATTTAATTGCTATTTATTCAATATTGTTTATCTATTACTAAATTGTTACAAAATAATGAATAAATATTATTCTTAATCATTGCGTCAGACAATGGGAATAATATTAAAACAGAAGAGAAAATATTTAATATTGCTCCATATGTCGATATTAATTTGTGATGTAATTCACTATCTGAAGTTTTCAGTGTTATATTTTTAACACCAAGAATCTCAATGCTTTTTAAATATTTTTTATCGGCGAATTATAGCGAGAGGTTGAATCGCCGATGTCTGGGTGGAGACCTCCGTTCTCCGATATATCACCGAAATTTCAACACATTGCCGCGATAGAACGTTATCTTTTGTGGACTTTGTTTCGCGTTTATCGTGGCACAGCTCGCTTTCGGTAGCCGTAAATATATGGCAATTATATCGACATTATTACTCCCATAATGATTTAGCATAGTGATGGTAATCTTCAATACTTTATTTCAATCGTCTCTCGATTATTTATATAGTATATGTACGTATATGTACGCGGGATCTCTCAGAACCCGCACGCTTACACATATCCGACAGTATTCCGCTAATGGAACGCGGGACGAGATATTGCGATAATTTGCGAGTCAATGACTTTGGCGAGACATCAACAACGTCGTTCCCCTGTCACTCGTCATGTTACGCGAACGCATTTTTCTTCGAGCGATGCATGCTTGATCGTAATTCACTTTCACGAGGGCTATCGACAACGAATGCTTGGTAACAGCTGGTACTTACCCAGTCCTTATCGGCCGCGGCGGTCTGCATGTAAAAGATATGACGAAAAAAGTTATAAGATTAATTTCATAAGAAATTTCGTAAGCGAATGTCAAAGCGTTATCGTGTTTGGACGGTTAACAAGGCGGATAAGCTCTCGTGGAATATTTTGCATTATAATTTTAAACGATGAAGAATGTTCATCTTGTTAATCTATTTAATCCTCGGGTATGGTTGCCTATAATATTTTGCATCGAAGAAATATAAACTAAATTATAAATTAGGAGAGAGATTTGTTTCACTTAGGGTGCTATCCATTTAATGACACAAGTTGACACAAACGTCGTTCTGTCTTTCATGGCATTCAATGAGTAACAAAGACAGAGTGACACTTGTGATGATTTGTGTCAGTAAATGGAAAGCACCCTTAATTAATAATAAAAAAGAATCAAATATAATCTTTATTAATTCAATTGCGATCTAGTTACTTAATAAAACAGTGTTTCTGTAAATCACACCATGGTAAATAATAGTGATATTTTTTAAATATATCTGGGAATATCAATTTTCCTCTTCATATTGTTTACTGGACTAATCGCGCAAATAAGCAATTATATTCGAGAATTAACATGGAAGAAGGAAGGATTACCTTCGGTGTTGGAGCTAAAGCCGTTGGCGTCGTCGCCTGTTCTTGAATATCGTCGTTTGACTAGAGCCAAATGTTTAATTACACCAATCTCGTGACATACGAACGAAGGAGGCGTAGATCGATATATAGGAAGTCCGAGGGTATATTTGAAAAATTCAATGTAACATTGATCTAATCCATTTTCTTAAGAGAGAGAATTGGAGATAATTAAATTTTAAACCTCAGCTAAATTTTTTAATCTTTTTAACATAAACATTATTTAAGGTACTAACTTAGACCATTGTTGAAAGTTTTTATCGATACTTATATGATATTTCTTCATACGTAAAAAAAAAAATTAAACGTTAAATCTTATTTTATATTTTATGCTTTTATTATAATAAATAAAACGAAATAACAAGAATTATAATAGTAAAGCATGATTTTACTCATTAAATTAGCTACGTAAAATCTTTGCAAATTCCGCTTAATTTCTGGCTACGCCTCCGACGTGAGAATTACGCATATATATCTACTTATATACGATACCTTTTCTTTTTCCACGCCCATCGTATGATAGCTTGAAAGAATAGAAAACGAACAGTTAGTCAGTGGAGATTCTAAAAACGTAGTCGTTGAGTAAATATATGTAGCGTGATATCTTTCTGTGCAAATTCGGGTGAGACCCGAAAGTCAATATCGTTCCAAAATGAGAAGAAGTCATTTCACAGCGATAAAAAGTACTCTTAGAACTCACGATAACTCACCACTAGAATGTCTTACAAAATGCGATATCGATCGACTAAGAACGAACGACCGTTTACCATCGTTACGCAATATCAAACAAAAAACTCACATAAGAATGATAAATGCAAATGTGACGCAATCAACTATGATTGTCTGTTGACTAAAGATCGTAAAAAAATTTATCTTACGAGCATTACGATGAGAAAAATGTAGTCTTGAAATATTTGTTGAAATTGTCACGTTTATAAATTGGTATAATAATATATTCGTGATAAATTTGTATTGAAAATTACTATTATAAATATTCTGAATTATATCGCGACAAAGTGCATTATGTACAAACGTTACATTCACAATAACGAACTCGTTTCACGCGGAAA